GGAAGCCTGCTTCTCCCTCTCCCACTCCCCCTGCTTGTGTTTCTGCTCTAGCTATCTCTCTGTCAAATAAATAAATAAAATCTTAAAAAAAAAAAAAGTTTAGCCAGGCCAATGAGCAAAAAATGAGTTTATAACAACTGGACATAGAAAGCTACTATTACTGCATATAATGGTACTGATTCCTAGGAGTATCTGGGTTGGGGCACAAACCAGGAAACATCCACTATATCCTTTATAGTTCATTAACTGTCGCAATACAGAGAAAATTCAAGCTGTTGGTATAAGCCAGGATAAGCAAAACCAGAACTCCTCCCCAAGTTAACAGCCAGGAATAACCCTGCAGCTCCCTCCCGAACCCTCTCCAAGGCTGCTCGTTGTGGGGCTAACCAACTTGGAACCAAGGAGGCTAGTCTACAAAGTCCTAAAAAATCTGTTATTTTTGACCTAGGAGACCCAGCAGGCTTTCCCAGAGACTAGTCTCTATAGATCATATTTCTTCAAAACTGGCCTAGGCTGACTTGGCTTTTTGTTAACACATGTGATACAATTAAATCATCTTAGCATTATACAGTTTTAAAAGAAAAGGCCAAAAAAATCTTTTTTGGTTATAAAAAGTAATGTAAATAACCTGCAACACTTGCCTCATATCCAAATGTGAGGGCCATAATGGTGATGAGAAAGCCAAAAAATGCTTCTAGCTTCCGTAAGCCTACAGGGGAAAATGCAACAGTGAGCTCACAGAAGGCAGACTTCTCCATCAGCCTCATGATGGAAAGTAGCTCGTTTGACTGACCCCTCCATTCCCACTCTCCTTACCATATTTGTCCAAAAAGAGAAATACGAAGGTATCTGCAATGGTGATGAGAACTCCACCCCATAGAGGAACCCTAGGTCAGAGATAAGAAATGGAGATTAACAGGAAGAAAGGAAACGTTCAAAACACTTTCTTTCCAACAGCTTTCCGGATACACAACACTTGGAAAAGCAAGGACTCGCGGGAGAGGGGACAGTGGCAGGAAGTCAAGCCTTGGGTAGTTTAGGATCACAGCACCAACTGAATTAACTACATTCATTCAAACATTGACTGTCTACTAATTCAGACATTTAGGATACAAAGCTGAAAAGTATGGGTCTTATCCCTCAAGGAGCTCACTCTCTAGTGGGACAAACTGATATACAAATAAATAATTGTAACACACAAGGCCACACACTGTATAACAGAGGGATGCATAACCCGACATGAAAACATAGAACATATAGAGCCTATAGCTGCTAGGAGAGAAGGTGGCTCCAGAAAGGTTCCACAGAAAAAATAATACTTAGATTGAATCTTGAAAACTGAAAATTAGTTTGGTTTTTGTTTTTACATTTGCTTTGAAATCTAGCAAAATATTACTTTCTGGAGGAAAACCCCCTCACCTTCCTACAGACAGGAGATTGATGGCAATGGCTGAGCCAATAACTTCTTGCATATCTGAGCCAATGATAGCCAACTCCACCATCAGCCATAGGATAATTCGTGGGACCTAAATACCAAACAGCAGAAAGACATGGTTCTAATTAATCATTTCTAAGAACTTTCCCTATAGTTTGGAATTCACATTTGGCACTGACCCATCAACAGTCCTCCATAAGGCTTTGGTCTAGAGATGAAGAACCAGAACTGAGCTCCACCTAGCCCATCATTGCACTGTGGCCCCCACCTGGAGAAAGCAAGGGTGCTTCTGTGTGGTGGTGCCTATGGGCCAAGGTCAGGACAACAGCTAATCCTAATTTTTTTCTCTTACCTTCTTACTCAATAGAGGAATGGGAATTTCCAATCATTAATTTCCACTTAATTTCCTGCCTAAAAACAATCTAAAAGTTTTAGGGGAAAATGAGGATGCGAATATGGTCAAAGTATTGTTCAGGAGAGAACAGAAAATGACCATAGAAGAAAATATCCTGACCGTGGCCGAAGAGACAAAACAAAAATGAAGAGGCTGGAGTCCACTTTAATGTAATGACAATACATAAGCAAGTGAAAAAGGACAAATATGTAAAGGGACTCAGGGCAAACTGGTTGAAATTGAGTTGCATATAACAAAATAGAAACCTAATCTGGTCAAAGAATCCAGCTGAAAGACAAATTTAGTTAATACTGGCTCACAGAGGCCAAGGAAAAAAAAAAAAAACACCTTCCAGGTATCTACTACACAAAAAAATTGTTACAAAAAAACAACTGTTAAGATACATGAAGAGAAACTACAAGAAATTATAAATTACTAAGGTTTTTTTAAGAAGCATATAAGGGGGAAAAAAGCAGATAAGCACAGTTTTTCACAGCCAGGAAAGGAGATTAAACATTTAGGTCAAACCAGAGGCAAATCATTATCTTATCTAAAGGTGAAGCTAAGTTAAAACTATCTTCCAGTCCATTCCTGCCTTAGATACCAGGAAAGGCCCAAAATGTCCAGAAAAAAGCTGTGGAAGACAATGTAACCTCCAGGGTCAGGGCAAATTGAAAAATAATTATTAACAAATCCAAAGATCCTGCCACAGAGAGTTTGCAGTAAAAGAGAAAACCTTATTTTTCAAATTGATGACAAAGTCAAACAAAAAAAGTATGTATAATAGGAATATGGATGTATGAATGAAAGAGCACTCCCACCCCTCCATGGGCTGGGCACTTGCTAGATGTCAGAAGGCAGAATGAATGGTAAATATTTACTCAATCAAACTGAATTTTTCTAAGGAAGCTTTCTGGCAAAAAGTGAATCTCAAGTTAAATTCTGAAGTAGTACAGAAATATAGGTTGGCAGCAAGAAGGGCTATGGAGTTTCCCCTGGAACTCATCCACAGGGCACTGACCACCAAGTCCTCCACTATTTCAGTATACCACGAGGCCAGCACGTTCCACCAAACACACAGGTTCCTCTGAGATGAGTGACAAACAGGCTCACCTTGGGATATTGACGGTGACACACTTCAGCAAGATGCAACCCCGTGACCACTCCCAGTCTGGCTGCAAGGCGCTGGAGCAGAAGCCCCACGACGGTGGCCAACAGAAGAACCCAGAGCAACTAGAGAAGAACAAAATCCCATCATAACACTTACTACACAACTGGAGTGTTTTCGTTTGGTTGTTCGGTAATGTGAATGAGAAATACTACATTCAGGAACGAGCCCAGGTCAGGAATCAAATAACCTGAGTTCTGTTTCAGGTTCTACACATAACCTGTTAGGTCACCTCAGACCTTTCTGAGCCTTAGTTTCTCCCTTGTTCAAGGAAAACTATGTGGAGTGGATAAAATAAAATAAATGTTAAAGCTAACTACGTGTATAAAATAAATTTTAAAAACCAGATGGCAAAGTACTTTTCACCTAAGTGTCACTGCCAATGAAGTGTCTGCATATAACCGCCAAGGCTGATGATATCCAACAGGCAGAGCAGGGGGAAAGGATGTGAGGGTGTACTGTGTGTTTTTAAAAGGGACAGGGGTAGGACTAGATGTTCACCTTAAATCCAGCCACTGCTCCAGACTGCAAATCAGATTCGATGTTTCCTGGATCCAAGTAGGCAATGCTCATAAGAAAACCGGGTCCCGTGAAAGCCCAGAGTTTACGAAAGCTAAAACAAGAATACTATACAAGAGAGGAAGAGATCAAACTAATTATCACCTCCAAACTACTGATCTAATTTATGTTATTTTTTTTTTAAGATTTTATTTATTTATTTGACACAGAGAGAGGAAGGGGAGAGAGCAAGCACAAGCACGGAGAGTGGCAGGCAGAGGGAGAAGCAGGCTCCCGCCGAGCAAGGAGCCTGATGCGGGGCTCGATCCCAGGACTCTGGGATCATGACCTGAGCTGAAGGCAGCCGCTTAACTGACTGAGCCACCCAGGTGCCTCCTATCTGTTATTTTATCACATATAAAGCAACAATATCAGCTTCACAAGAACAAAGGATTTAGGATGTTGAATATTGGGTGTGTCCAAGTTCAATGTCCATCTTACCCACTTTTTTTTTTTTTTTTTTAAGATTTTAGTTATTTATTTGTCAGAGAGAAAGCATAGCAGGGGGAGCAGCAGGCAGAGTGAGAGGGAGAAGCAGGCTCGCTGAGCAGGGAGCCCAACTTGGGGCTTGATCCCAGGACCTTGGGATCATGACCTGAGCCAAAGGCAGACGCTTAACTGAATGAGCCACCCAGGCACTCCCATCTTACCCACTTCTTATCAATAAACTGGCCACTTCTCTGTCCAAATAGGAACCATTCCCTTACCTGCTCTTTCCATCAATCAGCCTCTCATTCTAAAACCTAAGTAACAGTATCAGTACCCTTGTGCCTAATCACTACCCAAAAGGGTCAAAAGCCATGGTAAAAAAAGAACATGAAATTCATACTTACTAGATCAAAAAATAATCACTAGTACAATGTGGCAACTGTTTTCAAGGCCCTCATTTTCCTGAACAGTTACTGTAAACAGTTACTCTGATTACAAAAGTCTTCAGAGACTGCTTGCCCAAATTAGATCTGAGGCTGTTGATCTTAAGTTGTCCAGCAGACTTTTCACTCCTAAGTCTTCCCTAAATAATGTTTTCCTCCAAGGATTTGTCACTAACCTCCTCCTCAGGAATGGTGATCTTCTCATCAAAGTAGGTGGTAAAGGGCTCCTGTGAGTGCTCAGTGGACTGGGGTAGAGATGAGGTACTATAGGCAGGGTTGAGGGTACCAAGACTGGGAGAGTCCCCATGGTCTCCAGAAACATCATCTAAATTAACAGGTTTGAGAAGAAATTAAAAAAAACAAAATATACCAACAACTTGTCCTTAGTAACGTTTAAATTAAATCTTTTTAATACCTAAATGCACAAGACCAACCTGGCTCTACTCAATTTATTTCTAATATTTTATTTTCATCTATATTTTTAATAAATTAATTCTTACCTAGGCAATATATTCACATGGATGGAAATTCAGGAAATAAAAAAAGCTTATGGTAAAAAAGCTCCCTCTCACCCCTCCTCCCCAGCCACTTTGCTCTAGATCAGTTTTAACGCTCATCTCACAATGGTTTTCCTACTTTCACACTTCTATATACCCAGTTGGCAATTTTTAGAACCATTTCATTTTCTTCTAAAAACACTGATGCCTAGGGCTCAAAATATAACATTCCCCGACTAGCCACGCTGGTAACCTAAAATCCTAACTTTTTGAAGAACAGAACTAAGTCCGTCTAGGGGGTTACTACCCTCCTCCACCCCCACCCCCATCCATTATTTGGTAGGACTTAGCCAAAGAATCGTCCTTGGACATTATATCTCTGTCAGGCTTCTCAAAAAATGTGGAAGTTGACAAATCCTGCCATGGTTAGGCTAAAATCTGAAGCTGCAGGGAAACCACCAAACAGGAACCCTTTGCCTCCTGACTAAGGCCTGCAATGAAGAGCTTCGGGTCACGGGGTGTGGGCACCCTTGTGACAGGAGGGCTCATCTTAGACTGCTTATGAGTGTTTCCGAGTCCTGCATTTTGCAGGTAATCTTAAATGCTGGGAAGGGGAGGGTCTGAGAGAAAAGGGCTAATCTGCCAGAAGGATACAAAGCCCAGTTTGGTAGCCATCAAACGGCAATTTCAAAACACAGAGCTCTAATGTCAGGGCTTCCAAGAAATCCTTGCAACACCCAACTAGAAAAACAAAAGCTTTCTTTCTATAGGAACTGTGAAATGGCCCTGAATTGATGAGGAAATTTAAAGAAAAGGAATGAAAATTCTAAAGGGGAAATTTAGAATTAGAAAGAATTAGTCAGAACACTCCAGAAGCTCTAATGGAATACAAAGTTTAATGCGCTTGCTCGGTATTTTACTGCTCCTTAATGTATCTGCAGTGCTGTGAAAACCCAAAGCATTCTAAAGGTTTTTATGCCAGGCCTGTGATGAATACTTGCCCTTGCAAGCATTACTGCTACAGAAACCAAACTTGCAGCTCATCTTGGCTCATCTCAGAATTGGAAATAAGATATGAGACAGATATTTATGATTATCATTTACAGCCTAAATTACTAGATGGTGACTGGATTGGACCTGATTGGAGCAGGTCTCTATGATGATACTCTTAGCTAGGGAAGAGGATTTATGGACAATTTTGGTTGTAATAGATGACAAGAAGGAAAATATGGTCAATTTCTATTACTGATTTAAACCTAATTCCTAGTAAAAATCAGACAATAACACAGCTGTAAATTACCATCTGGCATCTTCTGTTCAGGACCCAACACCATGGGGGATGCCTGAGTGTCCAAGTCCTTAGAATAGGATTCTGGAAAGGAGAAAAGGGAGACAGGAATCAGCAAGAATAAACTAACAAGTTCAGAACCAGCATTTTGTTACTCTATACAACTGACCCCATACTAGATGAAAAGAATAATTCTTCTACTAAATTAAAGAACCTTGGGCGCCTGGGTGGCTCAGTTGGTTAAGCGACTGCCTTCGGCTCAGGTCATGATCCTGGAGTCCCTGGATCGAGTCCCGCATCGGGCTCC